TAGCAAAATAAAATTCTGCGCATACAACTGTATATAGAAAAATTATAGTATTTAACAGCATGCCAACTTCAGCTGCACAGCTCAAACCCAGGCTGAGTTTCAAAATCCGCAACTAATTTGAAACAATTTACGTATCCCTCTTTTGTGCGCGCAAGCTAATGATAATTTGCAGAGTACTTTTTCTAGCTTTTGCTCGCTTTCGCACAAAATTCATATATCCCTTAATAAGTACTTTATAGAGTATGAGAGGCAACAGCAGCAACAGCAACAGCAACAACTATGGCGTTTTTATACAAATGCAGCAAATTGCATTTTGCACAAAACTAAATGCCTGCTGAGTTGGCAAAGCTTCACTTTTCGACCGACACGCTGTGGGGGCGTGAGCGTGGGCGTGGTCAGTTATGGGCAGCGCAGTTACCGCAACACTGGCAATGCCAACCACTTGGCCAACTGGACCAGTTTATTCCTTTTAGCCAACTTGTGTGTTTTTGCTATTGTTGTTGTTGATTGTTAGCCGATTGTTGTATACGAACGCGCTGGCGCAACATTTTTTGGCTACAATCCCCTACCCTCACCCTCGCCCCCCTCACCCCTCGGCAAATTTGATTTCACACAGATACAAGGACAAGTGCAATTTCCATATTTGTGCGGCGCCACAAAGCAATATGCAAAACAATTTGATGCTCCGTGCTTGAAGCTAGTGCTGCGCTTTTTGGCAAAAAAAAAACATTAAAAAAAATAAAACCCATTTTCAAATTTTTAATTTAATTGAGAGCAGCCAAATCAGAGAAATTGCACTGGCAAACGAATATTTTGGCCATACACAAATAGTTCAGCTGAAAGCTTAAAAATTGCACAAAATAATCAAATACATTTTCCATCAGTTAGAAGTGGCAAACTAGATTGATATTAAGGCAAAACCAGCAACAACAAAAATGCATAAAATTGCAATCAACTTAATCGAGCTTTGAGCTTTTCGCTGCGCTTAATTGTAATGCAATTCAGCTTTAAGGCGCTTTGCGCAAGCCAAATTAAATTTATATGAGAAATAAAAGAACACGCACTTAAAACAATGTTTATTAATGTTAAGAAACAATAAGCAAAGTAAATGTGCATTTTATATTTGTCTACTGCATTTTCCCTTTTACAATGAGCTAAGTGCTATAAAAAATTCATTGCCATTCGCAAGAGCAAATGGCAAAAAACAAATGGCTAAAAGCAAATGGCGAATGTGGCCTGGTGAATGCCTTAAACTTAAATCGAATTACATTTAGCAAATGAAATTTCAAGCGCTCGAGCGTGGCAAAATCCTCGCTAGTGAAAAATGGCCTCAACAAGCGGCGCAATAAATAGACATTGTGTACGTTAAGCCCATTTAAGCCAAAGAAAATGCCACTCACAGCGCCACACTGCGTGTGTGTGTGCTTGTGTGTGTCCCCTAGTTGGTTGGAGAGTGTGTGTGGGCCCCAGCCACACACAAAAAGCCTCTTCGAAGTGCATTTTCTGTTGTTTTAACCAACAAGCGCATCTGGCGCTTCTCTCTCCTCGTGCCCCCCTGCCCCTTGCCGCACACTTAGCCTTTTGCTGCTACTGGACTTGGCCAGCTGCCAGACGTAGAGCAAAGACAATGCATTTTGGCTAAAGAAAAATGCACTTGCATATAAAGCACATAATAGAAGAATGTAATAAAATTTTTGTATGTTGCCATTTAATTTATATGCGCTAAAGTAAATGTCCCAAAAACAAAAAAAGTCCCAAATTTCCGTTCCATGCTGCTTGGGCATTTTTAAGCAGTCTCAAGGCCATGCATATGCACGTATGTATGTATGTATGTTTGTATGTCTAATATGCATGTCTGTATGTGTGTATATGGCTGCTTTAAATTATTTTATGTCCGCATAAAGCCATTTTTTCGATTGGAAATTACATTCCAAATTCACACAGTACTTACTTGTGTCTTTGCGCAGTCTGAGACTCGATGGGAAGTTGGGGCATCTTTGCTTTAAAAGTCCAATTGAGCATTTAACACACACTTTAATGGCCAGTTAGGTAAAACAACAGGCAATACAAATAAAATTGCACTCCACTAAATGAAATTCCGCGTAGCGATTGGTGTTGGGGGGGGGGGGGGGGGGGGCGGTTTTTCAATTACCCGAATGCACTGTGGTTGCGGATACAAATCTAAGACAATTAATTGTTGCACTTTTTCACTACAGACACTCGATATTGCGACTTATTCCCGCCATTCACAAACAATGCGCGCTAAGACCGTACTGAAAAGCGAGAGCAGAAAAAAAAGCAAGAAGAAGCAGAAGCAGCGAGCGAAATGCGCTTTGCGCCGATCGTGCGTGCGAGCGAGATAGCGGGCACAAAAGAGCGGCAAAATGGAAAGACAAGTATCGATAAGCGATATTCATTGAAAAAGCAAACATCGATAAATTGCTCGCCAATTTAAATGCGTGCACACTGTGCCGCTAGACGGACGGTAAATTCGAATGCAACCAGATAGACAGGCGGCACGCCCACACAGTAACTGGTGCCACAGCCGCTTAATGATGCTTGATTTAATTAATGCCACATTGGCCACGTGTACGCCACTGTGGTGGATGGGATGCTGGCAGGGGGATTTGGGAATGCGGCAATTGGAAATTGTAAACGCAGCCGCAGCCATTTGCTGATGATGATAATTTATGGGCACGAAGGGTTTTGCGGATTTCGCATTCGAAACTTATTTCCTCTTTGGGCGTGCTCAAATATTTGCACTGGCATTTCTACACACACACACACACACACACACACACAGGCATTAAGCATCAGGCATCAGGCGCAGAACAAATTGTTTACAATATTTATTGTTTGCGACTGCGACTGTTGACAATGATGAAACGGCAACTTAATGCCCCACTCGCCTTATTGGAGCAAAATCAGCGTCCGGGCAACTTGACTTGACCAGAAACACAAGTCCAATGCCCAATCCCCAATCCCCGCCAGGCACAGCAGCAGCAGCGGAGACGGCGTCAATGCTCATTTCCGTCGACATATTTTCATTTCCTTTTACATTCGCTTCAGCTTTTTTTTTTTTTACAGTTGCTGTTTGCTCAAGGATTTACAGGCGCCCCCACTCCCCTGTGTCCCTGCTCCCTGCCTTGCCATTGCCAGTGCAAATTGTAATTCATTAAAGTTTATTGTACAACATTTTTGTTGACCTGTTTTTTTTTGGGTGCCTTGGCTATAACTCGACCGCTTGGCCCTTAATTTTTTTTTTATTTTTTTATTATTATTATTTTATTATTGCTTGTTTGACCAATATGCTACGAAGTGCAAACTTTTTGCCAATATCCAAAAAGTATAATTAAAAATGTTGGCCTCGGCTCGGCTAAGCAATACAAATTCAAGTGACTGACTACGTGCTACCCTGTAATATGCACATAATGATGTAGTTCACTTAATTAAGCCCCTGGCTAAAACGTGGCTAAGGTAACGCGAAAAACAAACAAAGTAAAATTGTTGATACATTTTTCGAGCCAATTATAAATTTTAATAAGCAGCCGTGCGTGTGTGTGTGTGTGTGTGTGTGAAAATTGCTTGCATATCTCACGCGCTGGCAATTTTTGCTAAAATATATTAATGAAATTATTCAAAAACTTTTCCGGCTCTGCTGTTGTTTTTTGTTTTTGTTGTTTTAATCTAAAATAAGCAAACAAAGCGGCAACAATTCGCACACTTTGGCGCCAGCGGCTACGCAATTAATTTTACTTAACATTCATGAACAAAATGAGGCACGTAGCCGATAATGAAAGCCGCAACATGCTAACGCCCACAAGCCCCCCCCCCCCTTCCACCCATCCACCACGCCCACACAGACACAGGCACGCCCACACTAATTGTGCTAACAACTTGATTCCAGCCGAACGACTTACAACGAGCGAATGGACACAAGGGCGGAGGCAGGGTTGCCAGACTATGCACGAAAATTTGCAGCACATAAAAAGGTTTTTATGACGTGTGGGGAACACCCGACCCGAAAAAGTATGCTATCTAATTGTAAAGGCATCAAGCAAATGCCACAAATGTGTGTGCGCATGTGTGTGTGTGTGTGGGTGTGTGTGGCCCCTAAAAATGCTCATATATTAGTTTGTGTGTGTGTGGGAAAATCTAGGTGCCTTGACTGCTGCAGTTTCATAAATTTGAATTTCAAATTTAAGACAGTCCTAGACCTAGCAGCACACACACACAGACGCACACACACACATAGAAAAACAAAGTTTGGTTGCGGCAAGTTACAAAGTTTCAATCCTCATGCAAATTGATTTGTGTCTTCTGTTTCGCCCACAATTTCTACAGTTTACCTTACAATGTGTGTGCGTGTGTGTGTGTGTGTGTGTGCATATTTGATTAAGGTCTTATATGTTTGACATTCCAGTTAACATTGTTAGCTTAAAATCAACACGCAACTATTAACAAGAAATTCGCATTTAAATTAATTAAAATGTCACTTTTGCCCAAAATATGCAAACAATTCGCTTAACTCGCATATGCCCTAGCTCAAAGGGTATTATACGTTTGACATGGCCTTTGTTGTGGCACATTATTTTTCATAGCATACTTTCGGGCGCCGCCGACCAAAGCATTTGAATACGTTTTAAATAGATATATAAATTATGGAATATGCATTTGTTCACACATGTATAGCTCGAATAGATCATAAATTATGCAATATATATATATAAAGGAAATTATTTGGAAAAAAACCTTTCACTCTCGCCCTCGGGGCGCAGTCAGCGAGGCGTGATTTAAGGCCAAATAAAAAAATCGATCTATGAATTTTTTATGAACCAAAAAGATGGCTTTGTGTGCCGGAATGTGTGCGTGTGCGTGTGTGTGAGTGCACATAAGAAATTTAAATAAATTATTTGTAAATTGTTATGATATTTATGCACTGCCGATTACAATTGTCATAATAATAATAATAATAATTATATACAATTTTCCATTTACAGATGATTAACCGAAAACCAAATGAAAAATATATATAAAAAAAAAAAGAAAAGAAAAACGCATATAAAATGTCAACAAGACGCAGCTAATTAAATTTCAACTGAATAAAGCATGTTAATTGCATCTGACACTCACAAACAGTGCGTGCAAATAGTACACACACAACAGATATGTGTGTGTGTGTGTGTGTGCTTTTCATTTAGTTTTCCAATTAAATTGCAACACGCCAAAGGCAACAGTCAACAGGCAGAAAGTTAAGAGTGCGGAAATTGAAACAAGTAAAAGCATGAATATGATATTAAAGAGAATTGAATACAAATAGAAAATTATAATCGCCATATACACAATATATATATATATATAATAACCTATACGCAATTGCACTTTATGATATTTGTTTATTGGATTTCCACTTCGAAAGAAACAAATAAACCAAATACTGTGCCAACTTATCAACAAAAAAAAAAAAAAACACAAATAGAATGAAACCCTAAACAAAATCTAGAAATATTATGAAGTTAGCGTGTAACATGAAGCTAAATATTAACTGGTAGTTAAATGATGAATGTTGATGTTAGTCATGCATATATACAAACGTATATATATTTATCTATATATATATATAAATAATTAAATAATTAATGTGAGTAATTCGAATTGTTGTATTGAATCGGAGAAACTTTCTTGTGTCTGGTGCTTTTTATTCGTTTTATTGATTTCAAATCAGAATATATATGTTTGAAAACTCAAAGCAAACTGTCTTTAAAATTTAGCACTTAATCAGAAACCGAACCGGGGTTTGGACTTTGGATCGTTTAGGAATTAAATTTCGAGATTGAAAATATTTTTTTTTGTAATTGAAGTAAGGGAATTTTATTATTTATATTAAAATATATGGTATGTGGTATGTTTAGCTGTTAGCTGCAAAATTAATCCTGAGGATAAAAATTGTAACTCCCATCAAAAGCATTTAAATTTGAACAAATCTATTAAAGTTTAAGCTATAGAAGAGGGCATTTTTAAAAAGATTTTTGTTTTACAATTGCAAAAATTTGTTAATTTCGAAAGGATGAACAAGAAAGTTTATGTGTAAAGCGAATTGTCTTAATGCTAGACACAAAGAAAGACCACAAGCCAGAAGAGATGCGCAGACACACAGACAAACGCACACAGACAGCTTGACATAGTGTGTGTGTGATGCAATAAAAACAACAAAAGGAATTTCGCTCAGGTGCGAACCGGCTCAGCCATAATTTATGTTCGAGCCGCGCGTTATGCAAATGAGCAGCCACTCGGCAAAAATCTCACAGCGCAATGCACAAAAGAGCGATAGTCATGAATGTGTGTGTGCGTGTGTGTGTGTGGGTGTGTCTTTGTGCGGGCCGGGTCAAGGTGCATGCCAGCCAAAAAGCCAAGCGGCCATTCACTTTAATTAACGGTTAACGACTGCAACTGGCGCTTGGCTACGCATTTGCGATTCTGCCAGGTGGTGGGGGCAGGCAGGTGTGTGTGAAAGGGGGCGGGTTGCGTGGCAAACAGACAGCACGTCTCGCCAGTTGGCGGGTTTGCACAGCGATAACCCAAGCGGGCCAGCAAAAATTGCAATTTGCTTATTGAAGTGGCAGCGCGAACGAGAGCAAAAAAACGAGCGATAACGCAATGCCACAAAAAGCAGAAGCAGCACAAGCAGAAAAAAAAAAAAATCTAAAAAACAAGAGAAAACAAGTAAGAGGTTCTAGTCGGGAGCTCCCGACTAGGGGATACCCTGAACCCTCTTCTGCCAACATCAAATGCATATCTTATTATTTACCAAAATTAAAAGGGATATCGATATCGATTTTTATCGATTGCTTGGAAACGGAGTAAGTTATCGATTATCGGAAACAAACTCGATCTGCGCGGGAACTAGGAGCATCTACATATAAAAGTCTCTAGCTCTTATAGGTTCTGAGATCCTTGCGTTCATACATACGGAGAGACGGACATGGCTAGGTCGAGTCGTCTATTGATGCTGATCAGGAATATATACTTTATGAGGTCGGAAATGCTTCATTCTGCCTGTTACATACATTTGGATGTTGCACAAATACAATATACCCTTATACCCATTTTTAATGGATTCAGGGTATAAAAAAAAACGCATCGTTTAACTGCGACAAGTCGAAAACTTGATACACTTGCCAGGCATTTGGCAGCTGTGCGGCAGATGTAGAATACTGGTAATTGTTTGATAAACAAACATTAGGAACATCTAACTAAGCCGAAGGCTAAATACCCTAAAATGTTTGGCATAGCTATTGGCTTGGGTATAATCTGATGTAGAAGTCCGATTTGATAAGTTTGATAACAATATCTGGCAATATCTATATACAAATATCAATATCTTGAAAAACGGCAAAGTTTTCCATAGAAAAACTCAATATTCAAAAGTTTCGACCGATGCCGACCAATCCAATGTTGATTCAAAGCAAGTTTAAGGCAAGAACTTAATTAAGGATCGTTCTTATCTATGTGATATAGTCGACCGATCCGGCTGCCTTTGACAAAAACAACAAGAAACCCTTAAGCTGAGAGATTAGTTGGCAGAGACCCAGACAGACAGACAGTAGAGCTACGCTATAAGAACTCTTACCTAAATCATGATCAAGTTTATACTTACCTGAATTTGGGCCAACTTTATGGACTGGCAGATGACTCCTGTTTGGCGTCGCATATTGCATGACGAAATTGAGATAACCCTTGGATAGTGTATACAATTGGTTAATAATATTAATAAGCATATTAGCACGCACAGCCTGTGAAATCCATTCGCAATCCGCCAGCCAATTGGAGTTGTCCTCATATCGTCGCCAAAAGCGACGGAAGATTTAATCGATTTGTGTTGTAGAATCGCGGCAAATGTATTAAAATATAATCAAATGCCAGCAACTGGTAGCAGATTTTCATATCTTATCGTTGAACATGCGCCAGGGCTTACTGTGAATCATCCTACTGCTCAAATTCTTTTGATTTCCACGCAATTCAACGAAATTACGTTTCCTTTGGATCTGTAAACAAAGAAAATCTAAATTACATATATAGATAAAGTTGCATTAAAATGGGCGTGGCAGCGGAAGATTTACTGATTACCCTAGCCGTAATATGCTTTTGTCTCTTCATCATACGCGTAAGTGATTGTTATTAATATTATTATTAATAAGACAATTATTTTAATGTAAGGCTTGACATTGAATTATAGATCATTTTGATTGCCTATCGCTTTTACCTGCTGAAACGACTGAAGGAGGCAACGCAAATCGAACAAGGTGAGCAAACATAATCGGCAAATATTTACACTAGTTTCTTGCACTCCGACAACACGGTTAGAGATGGGCATGTCTCGTGCTTTTGTGCGAGCTTCAATTCAAATGAGTTGACTTTAAAGGGTATATCACTGGGATTAGGAAAATTGACAGCTTAGCTGTGCTAATTACCCAAGTAATTAAACATTGTGCGCTTAATTACTTAAGTAATTGGACATTTTGTGTTCAATTAACAATTTTTACTTAGGTATATTTATTGTGAGGGCACAATTACTCAAGTAATTAAACTTGTCAGCCACAATTACTTAAGTAATTACACTGGCAAGTCACAATTATTTGAGTAAATTTAATTGTGAATGCACAATTACATTACTTTTTACAATTACTCAAGTAATTACATCGACTCATGACAATTACGTGTAATTACAGTCATTTCTTCAAGTAATTACATGGTTAAGATACAATTACTCGAAAAATTGTAGCCCTAATTTATCAAGTAATTTAAATTCTTACGAGTAATTTACTTAAAAATATGAATTACTCTAGCAATTGCCTTAAAATTGGTTAATTACTAACAAAATTTATGATTAACATAAATTTAAGAACAAATTTCCATATTAAAACTAAGCCCGTGCCTATGCGTGCGCGTTTCTCATAACCGGAAGCCCATCCCTAAAGCTAATATGACTACCCTTAAAAAAAAAGGCGAAACAAACGTCTTGACAATGGAAAACTTGCCATAAATCATAAAAACAATACGATACAGGCAATTACATACATATTTATACAGATATAGTATATATATATATATATAGATACACATTCACGCAGTTTGTGTGACATTTGCACACATTTATCATAGTGCCTCATTAGATAAAGTTGTGGCCCCCGCCCCGAACCACGAGATATGGCATGCATGGCAGAGAAAAGCACACCGAACTTAAGCCCAGGCTAGGCACTGGTTTTGTCAACTTTATCAGCTAATGATTACAAAGCAAATATGTGAGCCGTGCCTGACCCATGATGACTGGTCGCCGGGGCCCATCAATTTATTTTCGGCGACTTCAGTTCAATTCAGTTCGAACGGACACTTTGAGTGAAACGAGACTTGTGCAAAACTATTTTTATAACCGAAATCAAGTCCGATACAAATGGCGACCGCAACAATAACAGCATCAACCGCTGCAGCAGCATTGAATGCAACAACAAGCATTGTGAGCAGCTCGTATTCGTCGGGTAGCACCACCAGCACCACTGCAGCGTATCCGGAATATGGCGACGCGCCGTATGTGCCCGTTTACACACCGTCGCCGAGCTATGTGTACTTCTATTCGGGCTATGCCTTCTATATAGTGCTCCTATTTCTGTTTGTCATCCTGATGCCATTTGCAATCATAATGGTAACTTAATCCTAACAGTTTGGCCAACCTATGCTCCAACAGCTAATTGTGTATTCTGTCTCTCTCTTTCGAAAACAAACGCAAAAAGAGTTCCATGCAGCGCAAGCGTCAGGAGAACGCACGCAGGCTGGCCCTGCAGAGAGAACGAGGTAAATGTGATTGCCCTTTAATTTGTACTTTAATTCAATACCGGGACGAACAACTGCAGCCGACTAGAGCACCTGCTTGAGCGCGGTGAGGAAGCCAAAGTTAATCAATCCCAAATAGAGGTAGTAGATATTCAGCTTGAACAGCTCCCAGCGTTCGCGCAGCTGCAAATGCCAGCGTTTGGCAGCCACCGTCTGTTGGGCACGCTGTTCCGCATATGAGGATTGCACACAGAACTTGGACATCACCCAGAAGGCGGTCATGCGATTCTGTGTGCGCAGCGTCGCCTCAATGCCGCGTATCAGATCGTTTGTCTTCAGTATGAGCAACATTTGCCGATCCACCTGCTCCAGCACATCCGAAATGTGGGGCAGCACCAGTGATGTGTTGTTCTGCAGCGTATTCTTCTGCAAAAGACAAACGTATGAGTATTCGAATATTACTGGATTTTGTTTAATTGAGTGCGCAGCTCACCTCTTCTTTGGAATATTTGACTTTGGTAATGCCCTGCATGAGCGTGTCCCAGGGTCGACCCGTCACCATGCACACAAACAAACCGTACAGATCACCCTTGATGCCCAGCTGCTCGCTGTGCTGGCGCATCAACTTGCGATCGACGTTCAGTATGCTCAGCCAGAGCTTGGAGTATTCATAGCGAAACTTGTCGCTCAGATTGGCATAGAGTCCGTGATCGAGCAGTATTATTTCCAAATTATTTTTGGGCGTCTGACGCACAAGTATATTGCCCGGATGTGGATCGCTGTGCACAAAGCCCGTGGAGAAGATCATCTCCGAGTAGAGTTGACCAATTCGGCTGGCGACCTCAAAGCTATCAATTTTGTGATCCTTGATGTATTTCAAATCGGTCACATGCCCGCCCTCCAGATACTCCATGACCAGCACACGTGATGTGCTCAGCTCCCAATAGATTTTGGGCACACGCAACCAGCTGTACTTCTTGAAGTGCTCGGCTACCTTTTCGGCATTGTGGCCCTCATTGAGAAAGTCCAGCTCAATGGGCAGATTCTGTAACGAAATGAATTTTTTAAATCGATAAATCGATAGATTTCATTGGCAACTCACCTTTTTGGACTCCTCGACCAGCCATTGTATCTTGAAGTCGGGAAATATGCGCGCCAGCACTTTGACAGCCATTTCCATGGTCTTCATGTCCACACGCGAGTTGCCCTTGACATAGGGATGTTGCACCTTGACCGCCACAATTTCGCCCGTCTTTAGACGCGCCTTGTGCACCTGCGCCAATGAGGCGGTGCCCAGTGGCTCACGCTCGAAGCTATCGAATATATCCTCCGGATTGCGTTTCAAGTCCTGCCTGATTACCTTATACAGATCCTCGATGGGATTCTGTGGCGCATCCGAGTGCAACACTTTCATTGTCTGCACAAACTCCTTGGGCAAGAGGTACTCCAGAGCGCCGATATGCTGACCCACCTTGATATAGACGCCCCTATTGGTGCAGATCAGCTGCAGCAGCTTCTCGGCAGCGATTTTGTGCACGCGACTCTTCTCGGCCTTGTACTCGGGCGTCGTCTTATCCCACTCCTTGTAGTACAGCTCCCGCTTGTAGGTGAGCGCCACGTCGACCACGGCACAGGCCGAACGCGTCAGCCGCACAATGCCCAGCGAGTTGATCTCATAGTCGTTTGTATGCAGGCTCAAACCGGTGCTGACGAGGCCAGCGCCCAGGACGCCATAGCCCAGCACGCGTCGCAGCATCTATGGCAGGTTCGGAAGGCACGGGTACAGCACAGTTCGGCTGCAAAGATTAAACTGATTGTCTTTAATTGTGGCTGGCAGCGCGCCCTGTGCGCAATGAACCGTTAAGTCAACAGGTTGTCATTTCGTTTTAGTGTTAACCCTTCACCTGCGCCAAGCTCAAGAACAAGTTCAGCATGGCCAAAGAACTAGTTCGGCATGGCGAAAGAACCTTTGGACTGAGCGAGCAGCTTGAACGGACCAGCATTTTAGGCATGAACTTTGTTTTCATTTTGATTTGAACTTCGTTTCAGTTGGACTTAACTTTTTAAGCAACGCCAAATGTTTTACACTAAGCCTTTAAGCCTTTGCGACGAACTTTCACTCATAATTGTATTGCCAAAACGAAAAACCATTTATCATACACTTTGCACTTTGTTAATATTCATCAAGTTAATTGATTAACTTAAGCTGATTGACCCAAAACCTGTTGCAGCTGCATTAACTCACATTTACATGCGTATTTGCCCCAAAAGCCACTTTCACCATTTATTGACCGAACAACGTCAGCAATTGTTTGTCCATTACATAAATGACCGAAGTGAATCGAAGTTTATATTTTTGCCAAACTTCTTGGCCAAATCGTTTCACTTACAAGCTGTGCGTGTGTGTATTAGTGTGTATTAGTTGCAACACATGTGGCTGTTTGTTAGTGACTGTTGCTAGCACTTACACTAAAAACGCGAAAGGCAGCTTTAAAACTGTTGCCGCTGTGTGGGCAGCGCGCAACTAAACTGACTCTCAGCTGTTCAAGGCGCGTATGCAGCGCGATAAGAGCGCAAAAGCGCAGAATTATCGATAACAGAGTGACCAGCTTTTCTTTTTAGCACAAGTCGATAAACCGCGTTTTGAACTAAACGGACACAACAGATAAGATAAGTTAATGAGGAAAATGTGTATTTACCATATTGATAAGCTTGGAAATAGATTATGTTCTTGTTTAAACCTATTTACCTTGCCGCCAACAGCACGCCGCGAGATGGAAATAAGCGTCGCCAACAACAGCACAACCCTGGACAACAACAGCGTTTGCATTCAAGCTGATAACGACATGACCATCTTGCCCAAAGGCATGGATCTGCCGCCCAGCTATGATGATCTTAACATAAGCCATAGTGCGAAGCAGCAGCCGGGCAACATGGGCGCCTCCACGCTGACCATAGCTACCGATTTGGGATGCAGCAATTCGAATCTGGCAGCAGCTTTGAATGAGCCGCCTCCGGATTATCAGGGCACCGTGGACATAGCAGCAGCATCAGCAGCAGGAGCACCCACAGCCACAATATCCACAACAATGGTCGTTTCAGTTACGCCGAGAATCTAATGTGTTTAATGCATTTCAAGTGTATAAGTACTATCTTATATTTAATTTGATACAAATTATAATACACTAAATTTAACGATAAACAAAAACTCTTTCAACTCTAGCAACGTAAAATTTCAGCCAACGGTGGCCCAAATCTACCATAGGGATCCTTGGGTAGTATTAGTATATTATCGCACCATGAATAGCCAATCACTCGATTCTCAATTATCTTTTTGAATGCCACATTTTCAGTTATTAGATCTCGATAATTATCATTGGAAACGACCGCTGCATTGCGCTCATACGCCAATTGTAGTATAAAGCTGAAAGATAATTCGTTGAAAACAAATATATATTATTGAACATGATCCAGACGTGGGTCAGGCTCATCACGCACCGATCATCGTAGCTGATACTCTGTTGGTTGGGCAGATTTTTACAGGGTGTAAACACAATTTTGCCCTCCTTGTGCAATTGATCGAGCAGCGCCGGATTGGAAGATTTGTTGGGATTGCGACGAAACAATGGTATTACGGCCTTGACATCGTGTCCCATTTTTTGGAAATACTCCACACAATATTTGATGCCCTCCGCAGAGAATATATTGGAACAACCATGGCTGCACATTGAATTCAATATAAAATGAATATTTAGTCAAGAGCTGGGAGACTCACCCAAAGGCCACATTGCTGCCATCGATGATGATGGGTCGCTTATGGGAGACGGGCCCGTTCATTTCTATGCCTGGATTATATGTGTTGCTATTATAATCGGCCAGTTTTTTACGTTCCGTTGTGGTAAAGAGACTCTCGTTCATACGCTGTGTGGTCATCCTTGGCGTTTTGTTAAACTTAGAACCATCTTCCTTAGATTTCATATTTCGTTTTCTCTTTGAGCCATTGTCATCGTCGTATCTGTCATTGGACAGAGGTATAAAGTCTTCTTGAACAAATATTACACTATCGTCTAATGTATTTTCTGGGTTTAGCGTCGGCGGCTTCTTTACGCTGGCCACCGCAGCATCTCGGCGATCATCAATAATGCGAAAAGGACTATGATTTCTGTTCAAATTATCAAAGCTATCATCAATTATAATGCAAGTATCATTGTTTGTTGCTGAACTGGCGCTCTTAACGGGATACACGGCCGGATGGCTTGAGCTATTTGAAAAACTTTCCCACAAGTGAAAATCTCGCTTCCTATCCACCTCAAAGCGACTGAATGTCGGATTGTCATCATTCAGTGCATTGCTGCTTGCTGGCTCCTTGGATATTGTCTCATCCTCTGAATCATCGTCAATGTTGATTTTAGCCACATTCGGTTCCAATACGATGCAATCATCCTCATCGCTACTCTCAATCTCTTCAATAATCTCCGCCTCCTCCGCATCCTCTTCCTGCTGCTCCAATTTCATTGAGCCCGTCGCCTGCATTTTGTTTAATTCTTTAGAGAATATTGCGATTGAATAATTGAGCTCTTCTTTACCTGATTGTTACGATAAAACTTTGGTTTTGGTAGAGGCTGTTCGGTTTGTTGGCTTTTCCCGCGCTGAAAGTCCAATTTTCGCTTGGAACCGGCTGCAATTAATGCGCCCTTGTATGGTGTATTAAATGCTCGGCGTTTTATTAAAATTGCCAGTTTCTGTGCGTAACTATTTCTATTCGGCTTGGGGTTTGTGTTATTCAAGCGCTTCAGCGGCTTCTGAAAGTAACACTTAGTTAAAAATCAAATGATCGTAAGTTTCAATTGGCTGCATACCTTAATTTGATCATCTTTAAACTTTTGGAATTGAGGTTTAGTGGGCGGCATTGTGGTACTAGCGTCGTAGGTAATTTGATACTAATGTCAGATGAGAAATATATGCGTATTAATTTTTGTATTTGAAGTTTTTGTTTGACATATTGAAAAGTAAACAATTAGCTACTTTTCATACTTACTGCGCTTGAATTTCATTTAACAGAGTTTACTTTAAGGTGCTTTGAGTAAGACTACAGATTATCAGCTTGTTTTTATATACACCAAATTTATTATTGAATTACATATTGGATATCAATTATTATCATATATCAAAACTGTTACAATTTTGAGTACAATGCATTTTGATTAAAATACCTCTGTGGCTAGACACTTAAAAGAGTTGAAAATGTATTCTACTACATTATGATTGGCGCTTCGCTTTTTCATTTCAGCTGAGATAATTTATATCAATTAGATGAGAATTTTCTTTATCTAATCGATTTCGTGTGTCTCAATCATATTTTTTTTTTTTTTTTTTTTTTGTTATTTAAACACAACACAGATGACAACATTTAGTTACAAAAGGCAACACATATATTAGATAAAAAGCTGCAAATTTGATACTTTGACTGTGAATCGTTGATCCTTGACCATCGGTTGGACAAGCGTTCACTGCTTGAGCTCCCTAATCTCATTGCGTATGTTGGCACGTGCCAGCTCCTCGTACTTCTCATGGTATTCAGGGGTGGCATATATCGCTGGTATGAGCAGCAATGTCTCCAGCACCTTGACGCGCATCATTTTGTAGTTCTCATCATCCAGATTGGCGTACTCGTGACGCAGCAGCTGGGTGTAGTGCTTGTATTCTTCCGGCGGAGCACTGGGCGTGGCAGAACAGCAACATTAGACTATTGTTCAGTGTGCTCTAGTCGAGGCTGCTCGACCAGGCAATACCCTGTACCCAGCTACAGAACAAACACTCAATAGTTTTTCTATATATATCGACAGATATAAGAATATATTCTTCCCTTTTCGTTTTCGTTTTGAAAATTTCTAGGTATAAATAAGAGTGGAAGAAGTTATTCCGAAAATATTTTGAAAAGCCGGCTAACAGTCGATTATTTTCAATATCGGAAACGGTTATCGATAAGCTTCGAGCTTTTGCTGATACACGAGCTCTTGAAGCTTATATACAGACAAACTGATAGACAAGACTCAATTAGACGACCTGACAAGGATTATATATACGATATAGCAAAACGACGAAGCCTCGCACAACCCCAATGCACTCTTTATGTCTCTATTGGGTGGGTACAGGTCGGTACAGTGTGCAAATAAGGTATTTTGTGAAATACATACGCAAGTACAACCAGATCCACATCCTGCAACAAATTGGCCTCGTCATCGTGCGACCAGGTGACCTCATTGTCGGGCGTCTTGCGCCCCAACAGATTGCACACAAGCGACTTGGCGTGCTCCTATGTTGTGTTTGTTATCATTTAAAAGCTGCGTAAATCATATATCAACAGTTGTTGACTACTCACATCCTCAATCATGGCATCGCGACAAAACTCCTCGAATACCTCGCAATTCTCCTGCACACAGCTGCGATTGCCATCGAAATGATAATATTGAAAGAACGCGGCCAGTGCAATGCTGGGCGCACAGTCGGTCAAATGGTCGTGCTTGCGCTGCATCATCTCCTGCCAGTTATGATAGGCGCGCGTGGGACTATCATCGCTCAGATGCTGCTCAATGCGAGCATACCAGGTGTTGGTCACATCCTCGGGCACATCATAGTGTGCACAAATATTACGCCAGATTTGTTCCATCACTTTTTTTTAAGTTATTAATTGGGTATTTTTGGTGGGTTTAGTTACACTTTTTGGCCAATTTTCCTGCTTGCACAAAATCGCAATGATTCAATTTTCTGGAAATTTGTTCTGGAACTCGCACAGTTTTTCACTAATTTTTTTTTTCTCGGATTTTGGGGGCCTGACGCGTGCGCAAAACGAATTTTTGCAATTGCAGCAGCACCCCCTAAAATAGCAGAACGACCCGCCATTAATCGCGTCACGGAAATCATAAATATAAATATAACATTTAACTGCAACAATACTCACATCCATTTGGCTAGCCGCAGCAGAACAAGTTGGCGCGGGCTCAGCTAGCGCTGGCTCTGCAATTTTTTGGCACGTGCTTGGGGCTGCTGAAAGTGTTAGCAGGGCTCTACGACTTTTACGTGGGGATAGGTGCTTTTCTTTCTTATGGCGGTGCCTATGGATTTTACCTCTTTTCTTACAACCACTTTTATTTTTTTTACCCATTATTTGAGTGCTGTTTTTGGGACGCAAAAGATTTAATTACTAATGAAACGTATGCATACAAAACACAAAGCGAACTGCAACAGCTGATCAGCGTTGCCAGACTGTCCAAAAATATCAGGCAATTACTTTTAGTATTTAAGAAACTTGTATTATTGGTTCTAAGGAATTAACATTTTTGCCACCACTCAGAATTCTAGAGGGGCGTAAATGCTTGTTTACCGGCAACTAAGTTTTAAACAATTTTAATTTAATTTTTTTTTTTTATCAGCATGCTACCAATTACAAAACACTTTGGCCGTCCTGTGTTGTATGTTGGCAACCCTAGCCCTGTGAAATGTCAAACGAACTTGTGAAAGTAATCATTTCCAAATCTGAATTTTACATTACTGGTTCCAAAAAAAGTTATTAGTTTCTAAAATTGTTGGATTGTTACGGTGCGAGAACCGTTTGTAAGTTTACAACTTTGAGAACAGTTGTTGCCAAGGACCGTCTATCCACATTTAGTACTAAATTGCACTACATTTGGTTGGTGAGCATTGCTTCGGCCCATTTGTTGCCCTTTGTTCCCTGTTTCAACGTTTTACACGCACATCCGACAGTTTAAAATGGATGTCGAAAAATCTAGCAGCAGCTCCTTTGAAGATCTAACCAATGCCGATGACACCAAGGATATCCGTGCAGCCCAAGCGGCAATTAGCGACTTTGAAACATCTGAAGCCGATGTTCCATCTGCAAATATTGACAGTCACGCTGAGGGCGCAACACAGGAGGACGAGTCGGACGACGATATCGAATGCGATATTTTGGGTAACAAGCAGCTTATAAAACGCATCATCAAAAAGGCACCAGCCAACGCGAAGCGTCCCAGTCGCGGTGATCTAGTGACCATTACCTATACCGGAAAACTGGAGGATGGCACCGTTGTCGAGAAGGAGGAGCGCTTCCAATGCCATGTTGGTGATTTCGAGGTGGTCCAAGGGATTGACATGGTACTACCAATGATGCATGTGGGCGAAGTTTCGCAGGTCAACGTCGATCAACGCTTTGGCTACGGCACCATTGGCCTGAAAACCGAGAACCCACCTGAAATAATTGTACCACCAAATGCTAATGTAAGTGCCCAGTTTTAGCCACCGAAGTGCATCATCGAAGTGCATCATGTGTAATAACTATTTTCCAGCTGGTTTACCAAGTAGAGCTAGTGGATGTTAAGTTTGAAGACTTCTCAGACCTCAAGTCGTTTGATGTTCTACGTAAATATGGGTGCGTTCACATCTACCAGCTACCTGAATATAAGATAAGCTAAGATGTTTACTAATCATGATTGTTCCTTAATGCAGCGCCAGAAAAAAAGAGCGCGCCAATTATTATTATAAGCGTGTAGAGTACAATAATGCCATCCATCTGTACAGGCGTGCACTTGACTATTTGGATAGTCGTGATGGGGATCCAGATGCAGAGTTCGGCAAAGAAGATCTAGAGGTATTGAACTATAGACTACTAAGATTCTTTCTTATATATGCATAATATATATATCTTTGCCAACAGCTGTCTAACAGTGACCTGCAGAGCCTCTTGGAGGATCGACTGATTGTTTATAACAATTTGGCAATGGCTCAAATTAAGGTCGGAGCATATGATGCCGCATTACAGTCCGTGGAGAATGTATTGCGTTGTCAGCCAAATAATCCAAAGGCTTTATACCGCAAGGGCAGAGTGAGTGCTAGTTAAACACGTGGCATATTCAAGACTTAATCTCTCTGGCGCTCGTTATCAGGTGCTCGAGGGCAAGAATGATACGCAGGGGGCCATTAAGCTGTTGCAGAAAGTGGCTACGTTGGAACCAGACAACCGATCTGTACAATCAGATCTGGCCCGACTGTTTATCAAAGCACGTCGCGACGAACACAACGAAAAGGAAATGTATCAGAAGATGTTGGGCCAGGCTAAGAAAATGGAACAGAAAAGTAATATTAGACAGAAGACGCCCTTGGTAGATAACTCAAAAGTTAGTCGCAAACACTACCCCATTACAAACTACATATATTTTAAATCGCTAAATATTTTAATTTTCTTCTAGTTAAAGCTACTTGGCTTTTTGATGGGTACCATACTAATTGGCGTCGCCGGAGTGGCCATCTATCGCTACAAGTACTAAGAGAGGGGTATAAATGCTGTTATTTCAACCATAGAGTAATTTAAGCAATTGAAATGCATTTTAAAAATGGTATATATTTATTTATAAAGCAAAATTATAAATGTTGGAAACTATTTGCTCACTTGTAAAGATATCCCTTTTGTTATACATAAATATTGCAATGCACACTTTCCAATAGAAATAATGGGTTTTTGGATAATTTAAGATTAGTTTTAACAATTATTTGCGAAATATATACAACTTTCAAGCCTTTTGAACAAAAAAAATGTGATTTATGTACCGTTTGAATTTTTAACTTTAGTTGCAAGACTTAAAAAATGATAAATATTTTGAAAAAGAACTGATTCGTCAAATGAACATACTCACTTTTGTACTGTTCCAGCCCTGGTTGGCAGTGTCAAACGTCTTTTTGGACAAATTTAGCACATATTGTTTGCTGAATCATTTTCGCTGCACCGCAATATTTGATTAACTGCAACAGAAACAGTTGAATTTCAACAGTCGACAGTGTATTTAACAAGTTAAAACATTTAAATCGCTTACAGTGGCCATGCAGAAGTCTTTGCTGCTGTTTGCCGTGTGCCTGGCCCTGGCCTGGGCCGTCGCTGCGGAACCGAAGCTGTTGCGTGTGCCGTTAAATAAATTCCAATCCGCGCGCCGGCATTTCGCTGATGTCGGCACCGAGCTGCAGCAATTGCGCATCAAGTATGGTGGCGCCGGCGGCGTCTCACCCGAACCTCTCTCCAATTATCTGGATGCTCAGTACTATGGCCCCATATCGATTGGCTCGCCGCCACAGAATTTCAAGGTAGTTTTCGATACAGGTTCGTCCAATTTGTGGGTGCCATCGAAGAAATGTCACCTGACCAACATTGCGTGCCTCATGCACAACAAGTATGATGCCAGCAAGTCGTCATCGTATAGCAAGAACGGCACCGAATTCGCCATACACTATGGCTCGGGCAGTTTGTCGGGTTATTTGTCCAGCGACACGGTCAACATTGCCGGCCTGGACATTAAGGATCAAACCTTTGCCGAGGCACTGAGCGAACCGGGTCTGGTCTTTGTCGCTGCCAAATTCGATGGTATTCTTGGACTGGGCTACAGTTCGATATCTGTGGATGGTGTCAAGCCTCCATTCTATTCCATGTTCGAGCAGGGTTTGATCTCCCAGCCGGTATTTTCGTTCTACTTGAATCGTGATCCCAAGGCGCCAGAGGGTGGCGAAATCATCTTTGGCGGTTCTGATCCCAATCATTATACGGGCGACTTCACCTATTTGCCTGTAACACGCAAGGGTTATTGGCAAATCAAGATGGACTCTGCTCAGCTTAATAATCTGGAGCTGTGCAAGGGCGGCTGCCAGATAATTGCCGATACTGGCACCTCGCTGATTGCTGCGCCCGTCGCTGAGGCTACCTCTATCAATCAGGCTATCGGTGGCACACCCATTGTGGGCGGACAGGTAAGAGCTGTCTAGATATATGATAAGGTAACACATACAAGCCAGTATATCTCTTGCAGTATATCGTGTCCTGTGATATGATACCCAACTTGCCAGTCATTAAGTTTGTGCTAGGCGGAAAAACGTTTGAGCTGGAGGGCAAGGATTATATTTTGCGTGTTGCTCAAATGGGCAAAACCATCTGTCTGTCCGGATTTATGGGCATGGACATACCGCCACCAAACGGACCACTCTGGATTCTGGGCGATGTCTTCATTGGCAAATACTATACCGAATTTGACATGGGCAACGATCGCGTGGGCTTTGCCGATGCCAAATAGAGCGTCAACCAAAAGCTAACCCTATTATATTATACAAAAATATGCTAACATTTTATTGTAATTCGAAAATCGCAAGACTCTTCTTGCAATTGACAATTAAATTACAACATTATAATTGTAGTCTATAAAATTGTCGCTATTTTGTTTACATATAATTCTGTCTTTTGTTTTGGCTGCGACCCCATATTGTTAGTCATGCGATGGACCTTTGCTTATCTGGCGGCCAATTATATTTGTTTTTTACTTTCGCCGCTGATAAGCTCGCCAACTGCTTTGTTTGTGAATTATTTGTGCTTTCCAATAAAGAGAGAGAAAACTTTTCGAGAGCCAGACACTGTTTTTGCTCGGATTGCATGACCGACAGCAATAAAGAAAACCGATCTGATGCACTATATGTAAATGTCTATGTATAATACATTTGATTGTTTCGGGCTTTTTTTTTTGTATATATATGCTTGCGTATATTAAGATAAGCTTTGCTGATAGCGCAAAAGCCTGAAAAATTGACACTACGCTACAAGGCACTTAAGTTTCTGATAGACTCCTAACAAAATCTGTAACCATAATATGAATTTATGAAAATCGCATAGAAAGGTGCTAGTGGTAGGTGAGAGACGGTGCTCATGTGAGAGTGAAAAAGCAAGTGCATAAGAGAACTCTCTTCTAGAAGAGAGTACACTCGGAAGTAAAAGAGCGAGTGGGTGAATAAGAGAGATAAGTGAGAGCGCAGAATTGAATTAATTTTAATAAAATTCTGCGCTTTTGTTGATTTCAATGCATGATTAATTGTGATTAGCTAAGCTGAAAGTCAAATGAAATCAATTTTTTCTATAGGCCACTGGGTTAGGTCGATGACTTCCGCGTGCGCTGGACAGACGTCAGCGCCCGGAAAGCTGATACGGACTGGGATCGGATCGAGCTGGTTGGCCATAGCGCACTTTCGGGCGCTGTTGTTAAATACATGACGTATCCAGAACAATTATTTATCATAGCTCGACCAAGAAACAGTTGAAGAACATAATAAAACTTGGACTTTGTAACGCAACCGTAGCTCGAGCACGTAATTAATAGATTCAAGCATTGAATCACGCTGACCAAGAGTCGTTGCGATTATGGGACAGGGAAATGATTGTGTAAATAATAGAATGACAATGGAATAACAAGCTAAAGACTAAGATAAGACAACATTTAATACTAGGCAAAAACGCAAATAAAATAGACACAAAGTTAGTAGAGCTAAATTTATAATTTAAGCCGGCAAGAACGTTGCTCTCATTTCCGTTTCACATCGGCTAAATTAATAGCTGGAACCGAGGATTGCTCATTTTTGGGCACAGGCAACGTCCCAGATGTTGCTGTTCTCGTATTAGTTGTTGCTGTTGATGTCATACCTTGAACAATATCGGCATCCGCATTGATTTCCATCGATTCGGCTGTCGTTCCCAAAATGGGCACTTCATGCTCTTCATCTGATTCGGTGGATTCCCGGATAAGCTGAATGGATGGCGATGCCAGCTTCCCACTACTGACTTTGTATATATCACAGGTCTCGTTGACGTAGCGATTGAATACGTCCGGTTTGTCCGCGTACACATGATGTCCGGCGCCGGTCACAATTTTGATGTCCACCATTTTGACGCCGCGCTGCGATTTGATTTTCTCGCCCGACGACGAATCAATCCAACTACGTGAGCCATAGATGAATGTGATTGGTATATCACTGCGCACATCCTTGATGCGATGGATCATCGGATGCTTGGCCCAGCCAAACGATTGCATCATGCTGTGAAAAGCCGACTCCCCGCTCGGCCGCTGTGCATTGCACTGGTGTATATACTGGGGCAGCAGATTGATGTCCTCCTCAATTGTATGCTGGAATTTGCGCATTATATCCGGTCGCGTCTTCTGCACCACCCACTGACCAAATGGACCAGCGGCACGCAACGCCCACAGCGGATTCAGGGGAGTTAAGACACGCGCGATTGCACGCACCCACAATGGAATCTGTTTGGTGTTCGTCGAGTCGGCGGGCTTCTCGGGAAAGCCCCACGGATCGGCCAGTATTAGGTGTCTAACGCGCTCCGGATAGCTAAGTGCATAGCTGGAGGCAATGAAACCGCCCATGGAGTGACCCAACAGTATCATATCGTTGATGTTCATTTCGCGACGCCATTCCTCGACAGATTTGACAAACTGCTTCTCGCACACAAGCGCATCCTTGGCAAATTGTGGCCTGGAGCTACGGCCAAAGCCGAGCACATCCATTGCATAGACCGGACGATCCTTGGCAAAGGCATCCAGATTCATTACCCACAGAGCCACCCCAGCCCCGAGGCCATGCAGCAGTACCAGCGGCACCTCCTTGGACTCTGTATTCATGCTGAGCGTCCAGATTTTGTCAGCCTCGCCCACAGCCGGACCAATGTCCACAAAGAAGCCCCGATACGGCAGCTTCAGATATGAAAGTATCTTCTTCTCAACGGCCCGCAGCATTGTTGGTGAAGTCGATGTCCAGTTATATAACCATTGCCACAGAAAGAAGCCGTTATTTTTCGAAACCTGAAATAAAAGTTTTTAAGTGTAAACGAAAATTTGACTACATATAAAACATAATTATAAAATGAAAATCAAATGTAAAAAATACAAAGCTTTCAATTATTTATTATTATTATTTGACTAATGTCAAATTGACTAAACCAAAATCTAAAAGGCAATTTTGTTCAAATCCAATAAGAACGATTACAGTTATAAGCCCCTGCGGAGAGATGTCGTAGTCTCAATGTTGATAAGATTTTACCGATATGCTTGAAAAGCATTAAATTCCCGAGTTACGATTAAAAAAAGCCCTATTCTATACATGTAACAAGAGACAATAACAACTATGCAGGGTATTTCAAGCGAGACTTATTTGCTTAGAAACATACCGATATATAAACATGCTGATAAGGATCACAAATATATGAGAGAATAAAACCCTTAACAAGTGAATAATTTCGTAGTAGTGTAAATATAACTGTAAATTCAGGCCCCGTTCGTTTGTACTACTTTGTTGTGCATATGCTCACACACAAATATGCGCATACATATAAACAAACGTCACACATACTCGAACCACTTAATTCCATGCCTTGGTCTCACTCCTGCTCCGCCTGCTCTGGCCCGGAAGTGCTGCCAAATGGGCGTGGATTACCTAACGGACACCGCGATCGCGCCCACTGAAACTGCGCAATTAGCTAGGAACACACACGCACACACACACACATACATACATACAAATGTACGTTTGTATGTGTATCATATTTCAGCGTTGACAATTTATTGTTTGACCTTTTGTCTTAAAAATCAATGTTTCTTGTTTAGCTGTTCGA